CCCCAAAACCCCAAAACCCCAAAACCCCAAAACCCCTAGAGGTTGCAATGTTCAATATTTCATGAAATTAAAATATATGTCTATCATTTCCAATTTCATTAAAGTATTATTTGATCAATCATAGATGTGAATAGGGATTTTTTGAGTAGAGAACCTACTTTGATCTGACCTAATCCTCATTCTATTTAAGCATCTAAGATAAACTTTCTCTTTTGCCTTTCATATATGAATACGGCCTTTTGCTTTGCAAATCCTAAACAGTTTAATTCTGGGATGTGCCACGCTTATTGCTTACTTGGTTTTTCGCAGAGTGGTTACTAGTCTAATCATTATTGCTGAGACTCTAGTCTAAGTTATTTTATTCATACCCATTAAATCCGATTTTCGTACGGAAAGCCAAGCTTGATTAACTTATTGAGTTTGATATAAGATGAGGGGAGGAGTCGGTATGCTTTGGTAATTTCTTAAACTAGATTTGACTCTTGGAATATTGAGTCTCCTCCATGATTATCATAGTTTTGTTATCATTTAGCCCTAACTTAGGTATTGGCTTTTACAGCTTTAGATCTTGTATAATCATTGACATGTTTCGATTCCATATATTTTCAACATTAATCTAAGATTTCTATTTCAGCCTTATCTCACCTTGATAATTAGTGGTCACACTTAGGAATAAGCCTCTCAGAGTCTGTTCGAAGGATGAGTGATTAAAAGTAAGCAACTTCATTCCAAACAATGTCAGCAAATCAAAGCAAAACTAATCGTAAAATACGAGCTAATCACTTTGATAGCTTCTTCCAGTATCTTAGTCCTCTCCTATTCCTTACGATTTATTATTATCAGTATTCATTCCCAAGCCATACTACTGATAATGGTTCAAATCATTTTAAAAGGGGTTTTTCAAATCTATCTCCGAATAATGGAAACTCACTGCATGCTTAAAGATTGATCGGACTTCTTAATATATCTAGTTACTCAATGGTATTTGTGTCTTATCAATGTATTTGGGATCTCTCAGTTCTTCTCATGAGTATTGCAGCTTCAAGCATATATTCCAAAACTGAATTAAATACTATTAATTTTATAATATTTTTACCTTAATAAAGAGTATTTGAAAATCTTAGCTTGATAGGTAGTAGTCAAACAGTCTGGAAAGTAGCACCTTCTCATCAACTTTATCCATTATTGCTATAAATAAAATTTTGTTAAAATCCTGAATATTATGATTAATATGTAAATTGACGTTACAGCGGGGTTTTGGGGTTTTGGGGTTTTGGGG